TTGAATTTAATTGTATTTCCGCAGGGCGATACCAAGGCGTAGTAAGATTATGCAAGTGATCATAGACCCAGTTTGAATTTAATTGTATTTCCGCAGGGCGATACCAAGGCGTAGTAAGATTATGGTGGCGATCATAGACCCAGTTTGAATTTAATTGTATTTCCGCAGGGCGATACCAAGGCACAGTAAGATTATGCAAGCGATCATAAACACAGTTTGAATTTAATTGTACTTCCGCAGAGCGATACCAAGGCGTAGTAAGATTATGCAAGCGATCATAGACACAGTTTGAATTTAATTGTATTTCCGAAGGGCGATACCAAGGCACAGTAAGAGCATGCAAGCGATCATAGACACAGTTTGAATATAATTGTATTTCCGAAGGGCGATACCAAGGCACAGTAAGATCATGCAAGCGATCATAAACACAGTTTGAATTTAATTGTATTTCCGCAGGGTGATACCAATTCGTTATAAGATCATGGTGGTGATCATTGACACAGTTTGAATTTAATTGTATTTCCGCAGGGCGATACCAAGGCGTAGTAAGATTATGGTGGCAATCATAAACACAGTTTGAATTTAGTTGTACTTCCGCAGAGCGATACCAAGGCGTAGTAAGATCATGCAAGTGATCATAAACCCAGTTTGAATATAATTGTATTTCCGCAGGGCGATACCAAGGCGTAGTAAGATTATGCAAGCGATCATAGACCCAGTTTGAATTTAATTGTATTTCGGCAGGGCGATACCAAGGCGTAGTAAGATCATGGTGGCGATCATAGACACAGTTTGAATTTAGTTGTATTTCCGCAGGGCGATACCAAGGCACAGTAAGATCATGCGAGCGATCATAAACACAGTTTAAATTTAGTTGTACTTTCGCAGAGCGATACCAAGGCGTAGTAAGATTATGTAAGCGATCATAGACACAGTTTGAATTTAATTGTATTTCCGCAGGGCGATACCAAGGCGTAGTAAGATCATGCAAGCGATCATAGACACAGTTTGAATTTAATTGTATTTCCGCAGGGCGATACCAAGGCACAGTAAGATCATGCAAGCGATCATAGAACCAGTTTGAATTTAATTGTATTTCCGCAGGGCGATACCAAGGCACAGTAAGATCATGGTGGTGATCATAAACACAGTTTGAATTTAGTTGTATTTCCGAAGGGCGATACCAAGGCGTAGTAAGATTACGCAAGCGATCATAGACACAGTTTGAATTTAATTGTATTTCCGCAGGGCGATACCAAGGCGTAGTAAGATCATGCGAGCGATCATAGACACAGTTTGAATTTAGTTGTATTTCCGCAGGGTGATACCAAGGCGTAGTAAGATCATGCGAGCGATCATAAACACAGTTTAAATTTAGTTGTACTTCCGCAGAGCGAGACCAAGGCGTAGTAAGATTATGTAAGCGATCATAGACACAGTTTGAATTTAATTGTATTTCCGCAGGGCGATACCAAGGCATAGTAAGATCATGGTGGCGATCATAGACACAGTTTGAATTTAATTGTATTTCCGCAGGGCGATACCAAGGCACAGTGAAATCATGCGAGCGATCATAAACACAGTTTGAATTTAATTGTACTTCCGCAGAGTGATACCAAGGCGTAGTAAGATCATGCAAGCGATCATAAACACAGTTTAAATTTATTTGTATTTCCGCAGGGCGATACCAAGGCACAGTAAGATCATGCAAGTGATCATAAACCCAGTTTGAATATAATTGTATTTCCTCAGGGCGATACCAAGGCGTAGTAAGATTATGCAAGCGATCATAGACCCAGTTTGAATTTAATTGTATTTCCGCAGGGCGATACCAAGGCGTAGTAAGATCATGCAAGCGATCATAGACACAGTTTGAATTTAATTGTATTTCCGCAGGGTGATACCAAGGCGTAGTAAGATCATGGAAGCGATCATAGACCCAGTTTGAATTTAATTGTATTTCCGTAGGGCGATACCAAGGCGTAATAAAATCATGCAAGCGATCATAAACACAGTTTGAATTTAATTGTATTTCCGAAGGGCGATACCAAGGCGTAGTAAGATTATGCAAGCGATCATACACACAGTTTGTATTTAATTGTATTTCCGCAGGGCGATACCAAGGCGTAATAAGATCATGGTGGCAATCATAGACCCAGTTTGAATTTAATTGTATTTCGCAGGGCGATACCCAGGCGTGGTAGGATTATGTAAGCGATCATAGACACAGTTTGAATTTAATTGTATTTCCGCAGGGCAATACGAAGGTGTAATAAGATCATGGTGGCAATCGCAGACACAGTTTGAATTTAATTGTATTTCCGCAGGGCGATACCAAGGCGTAGTAAGATAATGCAAGCGATCATACACACAGTTTGTATTTAATTGTATTTCCGCAGGGCGATACCAAGGCGTAATAAGATCATGGTGGCAATCATAGACCCAGTTTGAACTTAATTGTATTTCGCATGGCGACACCAAGGCGTGGTAGGATTATGTAAGCGATCATAGACACAGTTTGAATTTAAAAATCACATGTCTGTAAGACAATTTTTTATATCATATTTTCCCACATGGCGATCTCTAAGTATAGTTCGATCATATAAAGCGATCTTTTGTACAATTGTATTATATTAAACGCGCGGATTTCACTTAGATCACATGTCTGTAAGACGATTTGTTATATCATATTTTCCCGCAGGGGCGATCTCTAAGTATAGTTTGATCATAGAAAGCGATCTTATGTACAATTGTATTATATAAAACGCGCCGATTTCACTTAAATCACATGTCTGTAAGACGATTTGTTTTAATATATTTTCCCGCAGGGGCGATCTCTAAATATAGTTCGATAATATAAAGCGATCTTATGCACAATTATATTATATTTCAACGCTCCGATTTCACTTAAACCATATGTCTGTAAGACGATGTGTTATATCATATTTTCCCGCAGGTCCGATCTCTACATATAGTTTGCTCATATAAGGCGATCTTTTGTACAATTGTGTTAATAAAATAAAAAAAAACCAGCTTTGACAATGCAGATTAATACTTTTTACGCAATTAAAAGCTATTGTACATAAAAATTTTATACACTGAAAATGAAAAATTACCAACGAGTGAACCATCGTGTAGTTTAGTAAAATGGACTTCCATTGACCAATAAGACTATTATGCTTCATTTGTAGACAAAACCAATCAAATACCTGCACGCCAATTTGAATTATCTTTAAGTGGGTTCGGATAGTGCACTGTTAAAGCCTACTATGCGAACGATTCCTCCATTTAGTAACTGTTTAAGCTCCTAGACTGATAATTCTTTTTTTTTTAGCAACAGAAAGATCTTCTGTCCAACGAGGATAAGCATAAAGAGACCTATTTGCAGGTTGCTATGCGTTTTTATCTTGTCTTGTTGACGCTTTTGATCCCGCTATTTCCCAAAGTTGTTTACTTAATTACGCCTTACGCGCATAATTGGTTTGCAAAATATTTTTTGCCTGTTTACTTGCTGTGATGTAGAATTGTTTTTGGTTGTTTACCATTTGAGCATCATGCTTTCTGTTGCGATGCAGTATTGTTTTTGGTTGTTTACCATTTGAGCATCATGCTTTCTGTTGCGATGCAGTATTGTTTTTGGTTGTTTACCAACCGAATTAGGGCCACCCAGCATTTTGTAACCCTAATTTTCTTTTGAAGAAAAGTTGGGTCGTTACAAGCTCTTCATCTAATTTCTGATGGTTGCTAATCATCTCGTAACCTATAACCGTAGGCATATTAATTGCATCAGTTCTGGATAAACTATCAGCCACTATGTTGTCATTACCATCTATGTATGATATGTTTGTTGTAAACTCTGCAATAAAACTCAGTTGTCGTGATTGACGTGGTGAAACTTTATTTGATTATTGTTGGAATGCATAAATGAGCGGTTTGTGATCTGTTTGAATTGTAAAATTTCTACCTTCCAGTAAATGTATAAAATTTTTGATGGCTAAATATATAGCTAGCAACTCTCTGTCGTAAGTGCTGTAATTTTTCTTTACTGCCTTGAGCTTCGAAGAGAAAAACGCAACCGGCCGCCAAACATCACCTTCTTGTTGTTCCAGTACTGCACTAACTACGTTGCTTGATGCATCCAATGTCAATCGAATTGCACTTAATGAACACAAAAATGCTAATTTAGGTAATGTAGTTACACTTGTTTTACAGTTTCCAAACGCCGTATCTAACGTAGCAGTCCATGTTATAGGCGTGTTGTTCTTTTTTGAATTTTTTAATAGCTCATTTAAGGGTGCTTTATTTAGGATTCCTAAAAAACGACGAATTTCTTTTACTGTTTTTGGCTTCGAGTATTCATTAATTGGTCTCACTTGTTCTGCAGGCGGGCTGATACCATCGACTGATACATCATACCCTAAAGAATTTAGTTGTGAAACTCCGAACTCGCACTTGGCGGTGTTTATGACAAGCTTGACCTTATTTAATGTTTTTAGTACTGCTTCTACATGTTCCAAATGCTGCTGTTCACTCTCTGAGAATATTAAAATATCGTCAAGGTAGCAGTAGACAAATGGCATTTTCTTGAACCATGAATCCGTATATCGTTGGAAAGTTTGCGTAGCGTTTTTAAGACCAAACGGCATGACTACAAATTCAAATAACTCAATGGGTGTACTTGCTGTGGTTTTGCATATGTCACCACCTTGCATCGGTATGTTATAGTACGCTCTGTGTATATTAATATTTGAAAATAATTTGCTAGCATGTACTTTTTCCGCTACTTGATCTAGGTACGGTATCGGGTACCGATCTGGTTTCGTTTGCACATTTAGCTTTCTGAAGTCACCGCAGGCTCTCCAGGCACCTATTTTCTTTTTGACCAGGTGAATTGGACTCAACCACGGACTGTTTGACGAACGAGTAATTCCTTGTTCCAACAGTGTTGAAAATTCTTCGCGAATTGCTTTCAATTTCTCCCTAGAGTAACGGCGTGACCTTTAATGTACTGGCTGACCATCAGTGACTATTTGATGGCAGACTACAGATGCATCAGGGAGGCTATAGTTATTTGCACTGCACAAATCAATGTATTTGTTGACGATTGTGAAGAATTTGGACTTTGGATCCAATGTGTATACAGAACGTATCGATGTGGTTTCAACTGCACCAGATGACGACAATGTAGTAAGCGGGTCTAATAAACGTTTTGATTTTATGTCTGGAATTAGACCATATTTCGCCAGATAATCTGCGCCCAAGATTGGACATTTGACGTCTGCTATAATGAAGTTCCAATTGAAATTTCGTCGTAAACCAAGATTGATGCTAAGTTTCTTAGTACCGTACGTCTTAATTAATGAATTATTTGCTGCGAATAATTTTAGATCATCTGGGACTAGGTTGCGTTTAATTGTAATTGCTGTTAAAGGAATAATGGATACGGCTGATCCGGTATCAATCAGAAAATTCATATTTGAGATACGATCAATCACATGTAAATGAACTTCTTTCGTGCAGTCAGTTTGCAAAAATGAAGGCAACTTTTTTAACTTCACTGCATCAATATCGTTTTTCACTGCTGTGAAATTCGTGTCTGCTGACTTTGATGTTGTTTCTTTGTCGGCATTCGACTTTTCTGCTTCTTTGTTCTGCTTTGCGTTACCCAACATTGTGTAAGTTTGTTTCGACTCTACGAAATAATAAATAACTTGCGTTGCTTCCAATTATGTGTTTAATTTTCGTCGGGGTCATCAATTATGTGGGTTTTTAATAGCACACTTTATTTTTAATAATAATAACAATAATTTACAATATAAGATAATGATAAAACGAGTTGAATAAGAACACGCTCTAAACAAGAAGAAGGACGCTAGTTACCAGTCACTGAAGTTAGCTGCTGCTTTAGAAAGGTCTTTTGACCCACAGATGGCGTGACTGCGTGTATATTTACATATAGAGGGCGCTGTAGGGTGTGAGGCGAGTTCGCCACAAATATAATATAATAAATATAATATATATAATTTTAATATACTATTATTATTAATACCTTTTAAATAATAATATATAATATGGAGAAAAGTAGCTCGCCCATTTTCAATTGTAAGTGCAAATATTATTTGTTATTTAAAAATATATATTGCAATATATATTAATATATTGCAATTTTTAATCACTTTTAAATACTTCATCACAAGAACATCAAACTGAGTTCCCGCTTAATCAGGAAAGTTCAGTTATTGTTGGTAACTTTTGTATTTTTCACATGTTTGTATAAACTAACTTAAGTGTTTTTTTACAGAACCTACTCCAAGACGTTCAAATTTATTATCATTTTTAATATTATCACTTAAATAAATTCATTTACCTAATATTATCATTTCTATTATTATTACTAGTATTATTATAAATACTATTATTATTAATTCTGATACAATAGGTCTCTTCTGGCCGCAGTACCGGCTGTTGGGCAATTTTCACGTCTACTCTTTTAATAAGTATTATTAATTATTCTAATAACTATTAGGGTATTATTAATCAATATATTTATATTACATTATAGTGTTGAGTATTACTACATATTATATTATTAAATTATATTACTTAAACGTAATAATTGAAAATATGAATAAATACAATATTTTCTAAATCTTAAATACATGTTTCAGTTGTGTAGATAATCATGCAAAATGAAAAGTAAGTAACAAAATAAATTTATAAATAACATAAACAATCGTCTGATACGATTCTCCGCGATGATATTTTCTCACAACTCGCGATTGAGGAACAAATACTACAGTCAAAACACTATTCCGCGAAGATTTCCCGAACTCGACCGTGACTGTTTACAATACCCGCGCGATGATATTTTTACTATTTCGCGATGTTAAATGCTGGCAGGTTGTGAAATTATGTCGTATTATATTGGGTGTATATTTGTTTGTGCGTAAAATCACCAAAATATAAACCAAAAAAGTATTCGTCACTAATGCAAGAGACTGCAAAAACGGGGAAATCGCATTTTTTTATTTTCTATGAAGAAACCAGCGTTTGGCTTCTTAATACAAAGTGTTTTGTGCAGTGAAGTCTTAATGTTTCCAAAATGGGTCGTAAGGGAAGAGAAGCTTCTGCAGAAGTTAAAGTACTTGTATGGTAATTAAACATTATAAAAATGGGAATAAAGTGAAAAAAAAATTACCATTCATTATATCATAAAAAAAATGGAAAGAAACAAAATCGGTCGAAAACAATCCAAGATTCGGTTGTCCTAAAGCACTTTGCAAGGCGGATGAGCGGTGGTGAGTACGCCAAGTTCAAAAAAATCCCAAAACAAATGCCACAATTTTTTGTAATAACGTTGAGAAATATTTGGGAAAAGAGGTCACACCACAAAGTATTCCAAATTCGCTTAAAATTTATGGTAATAGAGGAAGAACTGCATGAAGGAAACCATTTGTGAACAAAATAAATAGAATCAAAAAAATACAATTTGCAAAGGCGTATGGAAAAGAGCCAGAATCGTTTTGGTATAATGTAATTTTTGCGGATGAGAGCAGATTCAACCTTTTCGATTGCGATGACAAGATAATTATGTATAGAAAACAAAATACGGAGCTGTAAGAACGCAATACAGTTGCTACTGTTAAAAATGGTGGTGCCGGTGTTATGATTTGGGGATGTATGGTGGTATGTGGTGTGGGATATATCGAAGTAATAAGTGAAATCATGGATCCCAGATTGAAACATCAGTAATAGTGCTCAAACTTCCAGCTGTTATATATAACCAGAACTTTGTCACAGTCTTGCACACATAACTCAAGCCCACAGTAACATATGTCACTAAAAAGCGTATATTATATTGCATATTATACTGCCACAAAATAAATGACTATGCGAAAAATGTATGTCATACAGAAATAACAAACAGCGATTCGAAATTCGACTTCAAGATAAGTATAATTAATTTAGTATTTTAGGTTTCTTGGTCATGAAACGAAATAACAAAATTTTGGGTTAGTTTGTCAAAACAAATACCGTACACGATTCATTGTGTGCGATCATGGTTTAACATATGCTAATCACAAACTTAGTAAAACAGAATAAACCTTTTCACTCACCGCGAATGCATCGCGATATAATGGAGAATATGGAAAAATCGACCATATCTGGAACGGTATAAATTTTCGGTTATCATTGACCAACTATCTTTAAAGCAGTTGAATTCAATAGTTAGTCCCTCAGGTCGAATAGCACGTGTTATGTAGTCCTGTGTGGAAAGTAACACCTTAACATAATAAGAATTACATAAAGGTTACAGACATCACCTCCATGGCTACTCTGCACCAGGTCACTTTCTTTTTAATTTTTTTATAAGTATTGCTCCGCAGCAACATCACTCACACATTATTTTTTTTTGTATTAATTATATATATGTAATTTTTAAAATATATTTGTTTTAATTTTAAAAATAAAATAAAAATTGCTCGCACATTGTAAAACTGAAAAATAAGTAAAAGCTTTTGCCTTTTTGTTTCTATTTTTTTATACGCATCAAAAGCTTTGGGTAAAGTCTTAATTAGGAGATGCTGCTAAAGTCAACAAAAAAAAAACATAAGTCGTAAATGGTATTTTTAAAGTGATACATTATTACTGATGCGGTACACTTTTTAACAGTCATGATACATAAATCCGTTACGGTGATCAACTTCCAGAATTTTGTATAAACGGAATACTAATAATTGAAATGCGGAATATATGGTATATAAAAATCATTTGTATTTTTTTATATCAGAAATTATTTTTTTTATAATTATATTACAGTAAATAATATTTAATAATTGCACACTTGTGAATTTATAATCCAATTTGTTTCTTTTTATGAGTTTGAGTATAATTTTTTTGATATATTAAAGGAACTAGAAAAAAAAGAAATAGTGCCTTAAAAAAATATATATTATTTTTTTTTAAATATATATTCTTCTATTAAGTATTCTATATATTAGATAACTATATAAATTATTATAATTATGCCTAACGTTTTATTGAAGACAATAAAAGTTTTTTGGTCTATAAACAAAATTTTAGCTAGATACGACAGCAGCTATGGTGAAGTCATTGCAGCGGCTGCAGTAAGTACCTTAAACTGATCTATTTTGTTTACCATTTTTTTTCTTTATTTTTGTTTTTTATGCAAGTTTTTTATAGATAAAAAATTTTTTTGATACATATGTTTTCTTCCTGTGCTAATTAACCATACGAATTTCAGAAGGAACTTTGTTTTTTTTTTGTATAATACAAAAAAGTGTTACTAACGTCTTGGCCACTCGTCACGCTATTGTTTCTTTAGTATATATATATTTTTTTTTGGTATTATTGATTTTTTTGTTATCTTAGAAAGAAAAAAAAATACTAAAAATATTAACACTTAAGATTGTAAAGTTAATTATTATTAACTCAGAAGTTTAAACAATGAAGAAAATTCTCTATACACATATGTTATAATTATGAATTTTGTTTTCATTTATATCTTCATGCATTTATAATCCAAAAATTGGTTTTTTTGTTTTTTTGATAGAAAAAATTGTATTAATATGGTGTTTTTTAAAAAAAATAGAGAGAAAAAATTGTAAACATAATTATATAATTATATTAGTATTGATATATTCAATAAATCTCAACCAAATTCTTAGTGAATTTAAGTAAAAATTATAGAAAAAAATAGTATATATGTAGTATGAGTGGTTAAAAGGGATATATTTGGCTCAAGGCATGGTATCAGTGTCGCAGTTACATGGGTCTCAATAGATAGTGCTGAGTAAGTCATCGGTCGGAACACGCTCATTTTGTTTTGTTGTTGCATTTTAACTTCATCTATTCTTAAAATAACAGAAGATTTTTTCTTTTTCTTTTAGTTTGTTAATTTGTCCTAACGACAGCATAAAAAAAATAATTAAAATATGAAACCGTGCAGCAATGTCGAACAAGCACTGCTAGACCTGCTACCGGATTTTACGAATCTTGTGAAAGAGACTGTCTATCAGGCTAGTAAAGCTAAAAGTGTAGATTGGGAGATAGGGGGAGAGATCATCAAAATGATGCGAATTGCAGGTTTGTCCAGAGGAAAGACAGGGCTGTCTGGTCGCTGC